GCGACAATATTCCCAGGAATACCGAAGCTCCAGCGGCGATGATATGCAGGCCAAAATAGGTTCTAGCAGCCGGCCAAGAGGCGCTATAAAGGGGGGTTTGCTAAAACACGATAGACCAGCCAGCAACGCCGAAGACGCCGGCGATACTACAAACGCCTGCGACAACGACAAAAAACCACCAGCGGCCGCACCATAGAGTAACTCGACCCCTCAGGCGTTAATGATACCAACACCGCCAACGCCGCCAACGCCAACAGCCCTCACGACACCGGCCCGCGCGACCAACTCGGGAGCGTCAGTCAAGACGACAGTGGACGAGCCGGTCTAAACACCAGCATAGCGCATCATTCTCGACAGCACATACGGCTTCGCCCTCGACTAGACAAGGAAGCCCTTCGCAGACACCTACGGGGGCCGCACCACAGGGAAATAGAGGGCCGCCGCCGTTTTACGCTCATGTGTTTTAAGGATGAGGTTAGAATTTTTTTTGGCAGGATTCGAGGTGGGTTTTCAAGCCAGAGCCTCATTGCTTGCGGCTCATCCATCATCAGGAGCCGCCGCGATTCATAGCTCGGCACTCCATTCTTGCCCAAGAGATACGGCGGTCGACATCCTGTCCCGTCTCCATGGCCATGGGTCTAAGCGGCCCTCAACCTAGCCCATCAGCAAGTTGGCGACGAGCTGCCGTCCAACGCATCAAGCTCGACATCGTCTTTCCCCCGCCGGCAGCGTCTATTCAGAGACAAAATTTGGCCTGCCAGTCCTTGTCCCCATCCAGAACCCGAATCTTGCCGACCACTACGGCTGAAGTATCGAGTGGCACGCTTCGCACGAGACCTCCGAGACGCCGCGCTTTTGGAACATGGGCTATTTTGGCGCCGCGGTCAAGAATGACACAACGTTTGACGGCAACATGACCTCTCTCGGCGATGAAATCAGCAAGCTCGCGGCGGGCGTTTATCGCCTCTCCCACGACGTTCGAATCTGGCGTGCCTTTTCGTCCCGGCGAGGTGGAGCACAGCGCGCCGACCCGCGCCTCAACAAGGGTAATTTTACTTTCACCAGGCCTCCGACGCGCTGACGCCGACCTTTCCTGGCACCTGTCCCTCGGCCATGAGATCTGTCCGCTTCTCGGAACTGACGACGTTTCACGGTCTGACGCCGTCTTTGGACCTGCAGCCCGAGACGACGAGGTCCTGTGCTGTAACCGCGAGCATTACGCACGAGATTCAAGCGTGCGCCGCGACGGTGGGCGAGGTGCAGGAGATCAGTCTTTCGAGCAGGATATAGTGGGGGAGCGGCTCCCTCGCAGATCAGTGCCGCAGCGTCGGCTGGCCCGTTCATGGGCGTTGGTGCGATGGGGCTCGTGGGCGTACTGGCAGGTTTGGCCTGAGGGTTGGACAAGTTGCCTCGATCAATGTTGACTGAAGGAGCGGATATGCTTGGATCGATGCCAAGATTCATAGCCATCAATATATTGTGAGCAGAAATTAGCTTAGCGTATCCAATGTCTAGTGTTTTGTACCATGGAATAATGACACTTTGGCCTCCACACAGCTTGTCTACCATCGGCAAACCCTTCTCCAAGCCAGGCTCTCGCTTTCTAGCGAAACGTTGATCCTGGCAGTTATTCTCCGACACTTGAGTCAACAAGGTGGATGAGGACGAAAATTCTCCGCGTGAGAGCTGCCGTGCCAAGGCGCTTGTCAAAACCAGAACAAGGCTTCCATCCCCACAGAATCACAGACAGAGAGTTGCTGGCGGGAGAGGTGAAGCGGCAAAACAAATCGTTTGATATCCTCTCCAGACGATATCCAGCTATTAGTTTCCGTACCTCGTGGTGGGCTTAGGGCTCATGAGTCGCAAAGAACCCGCAATGGCTTTGATAATGGCGGAATGCGTACTCTCAGGGTCAACCCCGCGATCTTGGTCGGTGAGAAGAACTGTGCTCCACCGCAATCCTCTGCTCCTATAACTCGATATCACAATGGAGCACCAGATTGGCCGACACTGTGGATCGAGAAACGGATGCAACGGGACCTGGCGATTCATTCTGCAGGGCGTTCTCTTACGCGCCTAGCAATGCAATGGTTTGCCTTACCTTCGGCGCGCCTTAACAGGCTGTGCGAGGTCCACAAGGCGCTTGACTAGCGCACCGGCCCGCGGGAAAAGCTTTTCGGAGATCTTGGGCGCCACCGTACCTGCCGCCGTTCCAGTGCTGAGCCTACGACGGTTGAAGTTATCGACATTGTCATGAAATCATCTTACAAGTCTCCGCGAGCTTCTCTACGCGAACTATCATGAGAACACGTCGTGCCTTTCGCGGTCTATTTAACGCAATTGGGATCTTTCTCCTGCGAGCCAACACCGCGTGTGTTCAGAAGGCTCCCATCGGGTGATGTCCGTGGATCCTCATAACGTAAAGCGGCTCATAGTGCGGCCCACCGCCGATGGGGCCGGATCGCCGGCAACGACTCCAACTGCAAACAACGAACGACAAGACATGGCCTCGGCGCCCTTGAAACGAGAACACCCCGGGTCCAAGACTTCGTCAATGACTTGAGAATTACCTTATGCCATGCCTCCCATCTGCCAGAACCGGATGCAAGCAACATCAACGGCACGTTTCCGTGTACTCGCGGACCCTTACCCCAAACCCCAAGATGCTTCTCAACATTCTCTCGCCCACGGGGCGATACATGGATGGATACCTACTCCATGGGGTAAAGTAAAGCCAAGAGCATGCTGGAAATCCCTCTTCCCCCCTTTATCCCACAAAGAAAATGGGGCGTCAGTATCGAATGGGCGGCCAGAAGTCCGTCGGACTGATCAGAGTTTCCACATTGACGCCCCCAGCCTACAAATATTTCACAGAGAACCACCAACAGAATTTTCATCCCTCCCATCAAGGTCGCTCGTGGCTCACCACTTTTGACTGTCTGCTATTATACTCTGACGCTTACTGCAGCTCATTTTGAAGCCTTCCCTGCACGCCATCTCTCATCTGACAGACTTGCGTGTCTGACGCTTCGAAACCGAGTTTGGCTCACGCAGGACGCGTCAAGAAGGACACCAGCCAGCCTCCTCAAGAAACTAGAGCCCGCCATGTCTGCCGCCATCTATGAGCAGTCTGTTCCCCAGGAACAGCGTCAGCTGTCGATTCAGCGGGCCGATGTACCTGCCAACGGGAGCAACAAGGAGGACAACGAGGCCGCCGATGTGGCGACGGAGCTGAAACCCGTCGGCAATGATGAGCCGCCGACGAACATCTTCAACCAGGGTGGCCAGAATTACCGCACACTCGGCCGCTGGGACACCGTCTTCGTCCTCATCACGAACCAAGTTGGTCTCGGTATTCTGTCCTTGCCCGGCTGCCTCAAGGTGCTCGGCGTCGTGCCTGGCGTCATCGCCATCATTGGTCTCGGCTCTATCTCTGCATACACTGCGTACATTCTCCTCCAATTCTACCGCCGTTACCCTCACGTCGTCAACATTGTCGACATGTGCCGCATCATAGGCGGCAAGCCTCTGGAAGTAGTCGCTGGACTGGGTCTCCTGGTCAAGGTCATGATGACTTGCGCTTCCGCTGCCGTCACTCTTTCCGTGTCTTTCAACACCTTGAGCGGTCACGCTTTCTGCACCACCATTTTCATTACGATTGCCGTCATCGCCTGCTGGATCCTGTGTCTGCCACGAACGGTCAAGTTCGTTTCGCAGAGCGGTATTCCCTCGACGATCAGCATCCTGGCCGCTGCTTTCATCGTCATCATCAGTCTCGGTGTCTCTCGGCCGACTGGAGCGCCCCCGGGATGGGATAAGGAGATCGCGGTCATTGGCAATCCTACTTTCCGCCAGGGTCTCAACGCCTGCCTCAAGATCTGTTATGCATATGCGGGAAACATCTCATGGGTATGAGGTTTACATGCATTAAGACTAGCTTTTGCTCATTCGCTAACATGACTGAAGGTCGGCTACATGGCAGAGATGCGTAATCCTAGCCGTGACTTCCCTGTCGCTCTGGCCTGCCTCGAAGTCTTCTCCATCACAATCTACACAGTCATCGCCATCGCCATTTATTGTCTGGCCGGCGACTACACAACGTCGCCAGCCCTCGGC